CAAAACAATTTCGATTTAAATGGTATTAGATTCAGATCTGAATTACATTGCCTCACACTGAATCTGCCTTTCTTCCAGCAAAAGCGTCTGTAACAACTGATACCGGCAAATTGAAAATGAATTCGCTGAAACTATTGATTGTTATCAGTTGCTTTTTAAAGAGACGATTCGATAGATGGCCTTGCCATAAGACACGTTCATCATCCTGTAATGCCTTTCGTGAGTTCTGCTGTGGGTATGAATTCCTCTTGAAATATTTCCACCTGATTATGGCATGTATTGTTCTATTGTACTGTTTGTTTCTCTGACACAATTCGATGCGTCAAAACCGCGTTCTCGTTTCCCTCAGGGTGGTTGTGAAGAAAATCCGCTTAACACACAGAGGCAAGCTGAAAGCCGTGAATTTGCTGGTAAAGTAACACGTGAAAGAAATCAGGGTTAGACCTTGTGCTGACTATCACCCTGGGTAGTCAACTATCAGGTGGATCGAGGAGGAGCGCACCGGCAAACGACTCTTGCATCGAAAAGCATGGCCGAACTCTTCGTTCATCCTGGCATGATCACGCCAGAATACTATGCTCTCCGTATTATTCACTAGTCAGCGGGTTACTGTCCGTTTTGGGGTCGGTTGCGCCGAAACAACGTGGTGTTGATTCGTTGCTCAAAGAAGTCACGCTTCAGGCAATGATTGTCGCTCAGTACCGGATTCGAATTTCACCAGTTCCACAGTTTAGAGCCGAATCTGTCTTACACTCACAACCTAGCGAGAAAACATGATCGGTCGCCTTACCTCGCGGCTTCAGAGTTTTATTTAAGACTCAACTCACCATTTGACAACGAATAAGGAATGTCAAAACGAAAGTGTCACAGGACGAACTGCGCAAAACGCTTTACTGTATTCCTTGCAAATATAGTGAAGTACAGAAGGAAAACGTGTAATACCGTCAAAGGAAGAGAAAAGGAGGGCTGTACAGCATCCAGCACTGACATAGGAGGAAAAGTCATGTGAAACAGGCACGACGCAGGAGGCAGACGAAAGATCTCGTCGTTATCAAAGCACAATACGAAAATATCTGCTTTGGAACAATGAATTGTCAAAAAGCGTTAAATAGATCAGAGGCACATCAGCGCAGACTATGATAAAAGAACTTTAAATTAATAAAGATAAAAAACTCTGATTACCAAAGCAAACAGATGTTTTATCAGCTACTGCGCAATCCATCTCAGCAATATCTGGATGTCAGATATTAAGAAAAAGTTATCAACGTTAATCCTTGCTCGGCCTGTTAGGAACCCAAATTTCACCTCATTGATTAAGCAGTTATCAGTCAGTTTCGAAGACCCCTTATTCCTCACAGAAGTGGAAGCACACTTATCAG